TTTATAAGTCAATGTTCAGTTTAACCTAAGTCATATTCTTCCTAAACAAGACAATGATGTTATGATTTTAAAATGCAGTATTTCTTAACTGGTCTAGGCTAAGCTTATAGCTCTGATCTTTATATTTATGGGAAACAATCTTCAGAGTTCAAATAATTAAAAAGATGGTTTTGATCTCACCAAAAAAAAAAATAGGTCAAAATAGTAATGGATATTTTGGAGGAAATATTTACACTCTTCCAACTTGCACCATCAAGAGTAAATAACAACCGTAACTAAATCTATTCTGGGGACAGTAGAATGTCCTCAAATCATCTTGAACATTGAGATCTTTTCATCAATTTTTAGAATAAAAAGAGGTTTAGTAGAAACGCTCTTCTAACAGCTATGAGATTATAGGCTTCCCCCTCCATCCACACAAACACACTCCACCCTGTGAAATAAGAGATACAACACTAATCACATCTGGAGTTTTGCCAGGACTCCCCCATCAGTAAGCAGGCAGAGTTGAACCAAGTTGCCTTAAAGGCATAAAGCCTCTCTCACCCCTGCGGAGGTGAGATGCCCTCAAGGGGATCAGAGAGCATCTATTCCAACTCTTTGAAGAAAGCAGGAATGAACATTTAAGTCTGTGGGAATCTATCAGAACTGTGCTCTATGAGCCTTAGTTTACCTCTGCCGATATTACCCCAAAATAAATTAGCTATTTTTATGCTATAAACTCCAAACCCAAGTTTCCCTAATGGAAGTAGGATTATCTCCTATTTTTTGCTACTCCCATCTTCAGATTTTTTAAGATAGGGGTTAGTCTCTCTGTTTCTGTTTAACAATCATTTGATTTAGAATGCTAGCAGCACGTCTGCTGGTTAACTTATAAATTACCACTCAAATTCTAAAACAGAAATAAACCTAGGTGATCTAAGAATTATTTCATATAGCAAAGTCTAATAGAAATCGAATCTAGTATCTTCCATTTCTACATGAAAGCCCTAAGAATGTCTAAATATAAGACCACTGTTGATATATTTGCCACACCATGTTTGAGCACCTGGTAACGATGATGGTGTGGTGGTGATGATGATGGTGATATAGCAAACAACCCTTATGGTACTTACTATGTGCCAGGCACTATTCTAAATGCTTGCTCTAAATGCTCTATATATAATGCACTCATTTAATCCCCATGACGACTCTGTAAAGTAGGTGCTATTATCTGTTTTTCACAGACAAGGAAACAGAGTCACAGAGGCAACAAGAAACCCGCCCTGGATCACACAGTCAGGAAGCGGCAGAGCTAGGATTTGGATCTAGGCAGTCTGGCTCCAGAGTCCTTCGACATTGCTTCTCTTCTCCTAGCCCGGCCACCAAACCAGTGTCATGATGGATAGAGATTTATATCAAAAAGTGAATTATTTACATTGGCTCTTTCTTTCCTACGCGAGTAGAAATAATATGCCTGAAAGCTTTACTCTCTGAGCTGTTTGGGGCCTGAGGCTCATTTACCTACTTCTTTCTCAGGTCTTTTCTTCTACAGCGAACCAGCATCTCCTTCTTTCGGAGTAAGTTCCTATGTGAGTGAGGTATTGTGCTGTACACCAGAAACTGACACAACACTGTAAACTGATTGTACTGCAGTAAAAATATATTTTAAAAAAAAGAGTAAGTTTGATGCACTCAGAAGCAAAACTGATTCTCACTGATCATCACTTCGGGAAACTATTTACTCCTTTAAAATTTCGATTCTGGAGGATGCTCACTGAATGTGCAAAACACCAAATCAGAAAGGAACTGCAAGAATACCAATGATTAAACAGAGCCTCTGAGTGGAGCAGACTAATGGAGTTGAGCCACCTGAGGTCAAATCCTGACACTACCTTTTGCAAATGTGACAGGTTATTTATCTCTCTATGACTTAATTTCCTAATCTATAAAATGGGAATAAAGACGGTACTACCACTTAGGGTTGTGAGGATTAAATAAACTAGTGCCTAAAATGCTTAACTTAGGGCATGGCATGTAGTAAGCACTCAGTTAACATGCACTATTGCTATTATCACCTCTGGTTTGTATAAACTAGACTCAAGATTTTATCATTTACAATGCAGTGTAAAAGCATTAATACAGATTTTAGGAAAACCAGTTATGATCACAGGAAATTCTTTCAGCTGAGGGACAGTCTGGCTTAAAAATTCACTGTGACATAGCTCCACAAATAATTTCATTCCCCTCGATTAGGTGAGAGCACAGGCACATTACAGGATATCACAGAAAAGCATCAGAGCTTACAGTGTTATCAGACACTTACCCCAAGATCCAGAAGTAGATTTTTCTACATAGTTAGGTTTTAAGTAACATAAAAGGATGTCTTACTTGTTTGTTTTTTATATTATAATCCAGAGCCACTGAAGAGAAATTGACCTGGACAGCAGAGATGCAATTGTAACAACTGTGCAACTCAGCAGCAGTAAAACCGCCCACACATCCAGCTTGTCTTTTCTTTCTTTGCTCCCTTCCTTTCTCTACAGTCTAAAAGCTTAAGTTCAAGTCCCACATGAGAGACTTAGAAATGGCTGCTTAGGAACCTGAAATAGAAATTTCCATCGCAAAGAGAGGGTAATATAAGTACTAGAAGAAGATGACTTGCCGAATGCCCACTAGCACCAAGTGCTTCAGTAAGTGTTATACAACGGAAAAGGAACAGATTGAAACCTTTTTTCCTGTCACTTCTAAAATGGACACGGTCACTAGCGAGAGAGCAAGGAGCCCTGAGGCCCTGCAGGAGAGCCACGTAGAAGCCATTCTAGGTAAACCTCACGCTTTCACTTGGATATTCCCAGGATGCACGGAATTGCTTTTTTGTGGTCCAGGCGCCATGGGACTTGGGAACCACTTGCGGGTCCCCAAGGGGCTGGCAGTGAGGAGGGGAACATTTGCCTCATTTCTCAGTGCCTCAGACTTGGGATATTCTTTGGCAATCCTGAGGGGAAGAAAGTATTGATGTATAAAGTAGCACCTTAGTCAAGAATTAAAATTTTAAAGAAGGGGTCAGTGAGTAGCTGCGTCTGGTATAAAGAGAGCAGACAGAAAAAGCAATGGTGAGACAGAAACACAAGGTCTCAATTTTAATCCCACATCTCCACCTGGAAAAGCTCACCACTATCAACCTTCAGAAGGCAGAGGCTTATAAATACGCAGACCAGCAGACCTTCATTCTGATATAAGATTTTAGCAATAATCAGCCTACAGTTCTCTAGGTAAGGATGGTGTGTCCCAGAAATAGTCATCAGCCTTAAGTATCATTGAGTGAGGGGCAATTCCAGGATTAGAACTTATGGAGGTATAAAAAGGTGGCTAAAGTGTCAGAGAAGAAATAAATTTCCTGATAGCAATGGAATTATTTGAAGGAAAATGGAGAGACCAGGAAACAAATGACTTCTCCTAGCAAGAGATGTCAGCATCCTCAGCTGGGAATTATCTACACAGACGACAGAGGCATGAAGAGGAGATGCTGGGCTCGGCATTTTGCAACCAAGAGGATGTGGAGAAGAGGGGCAACGAGGAGCTGAACAGCACAATCTGGTTTCTCACTTGAGATCGTACATCTGGAGCAAAGGAAATGGACAGTTTCAGCAACTCGGTGCAGGAGGTATCCCACGCTCAGGCTTTCTCTCTGAGAGCACCATTAAGGCAACGGAGCACAGGGCCAGGCACAAAATTCTCTTTAACAAATGAAATTCTCATTTCCTTGCAGCAGTATT